TCTCTCTCTCTCTCTCTCTCTCTCTCTCCCTCTCTCCCTCTCTCCCCTCTCTCCCCTTTTAACTTATTTATATTATAATTGATATGGAAAATGTAAACAAACTTTTTCTTCTAATATTACATTTATAAATTAATAGCTTTATTTCAGATTAGCTACAGGTAATGGTTATGTCTTCTATCCTACATTATATTCAATTCAAGCTCGATTAGAACTTGCTAACGAATTGGGTACAGGAATCTCGATTTGGGAATTAGGTCAAGGATTAAATTATTTTTATGACTTAGTATAAATTGTTGTATGTATACCTTTCCATTTTATATAACCAAAATTTTGTGATATCTATGTATACAAAGATGTATACATGTATACGTAAGAGAACATTTCGAAATATATGTTTCAATAAGCATATAAAATGTTTGTATATTATTAATAAGAAATATATGTATATATTTTTATGTGCCTTGTATAACTTTAATGCATGCATATATCGTTATAATTCCTTGTACTATTATCATTACTTGTGTCACTAGATTCACGACCTTTGAATGTCATCATGATTTGTGGTCCTTTCAAAATGTGATACATTAGTGCCCAGCTTATTTTCATCGGTAATAAGCTAATGAACATGACAAATATTAACAATTTAAATATATATATATATATACATATGTACATATATGCAATATTCTGATTATTATACTCACCTCTTAAACGGCAGTAAATATCTTAGAACTTTAGGTAATACTATCAATGTTTCGTTTGCTAATACCCCTGCTAGCATTTCTTCGGCAACATATTCTGGTTCAAGCATTGGCATCAATCTGCTGGAAATATTATTTTATTTTAAAATACTTTACGTAAATAACTACATAATTTTCTCTTCGGCAATTGCATTATATATTTTCACAAACCTAGGTTTCACTCCATTGAACATTCCCGTGTTAATAAGATAGGGGCAAACTAAAGTCATATGAATTCCTTCATACCCATGCACCTTAAAATATAATAATATTATTTACTAATATAAATATTAAATATATAGCATATAATAATAAAGTGATAAAAATGACAATATAAAATGATTATATTTGTTTTATTCAATAATCATGTATTCTTACGTACTTTGAGTTCAGTAAAGAGACTCTCATGGCATCCAATAGTAGCAAATTTTGTTGCAGAATAATCTGTACAATTGTAGATTCCTAAAAGTCCAGCGACGCTCGTTATCGTCACAATATGACCATGATTATTTTTCATCATATCCTTCAAGAATGACTTTGTAATCTATGGAAAAGTATTAACTATATATATCGGATTTTTGTGACAAAATGTCTTATATGTATTTATGTTGAGTACGAAATTATTAAGTATAGATGTAATGTCGCTGAAAAAAAACCGTTGTAAAAAACATGAGAAACGCAAATTTAATGTTAATACTCACCCAGTAATGTGAGAGAATATTTACTTTAAAAGTTTTTTCAATTTCGCAGTCAGGTAATTCCATAAAAGTTTTCCCGTATACATATCCAGCATTATTTACTAATAGACTTACCTATAGAAATTATTGTTTATTTGATCAATTTTATAAAAAATTATTATTTAAAAACACTTTAGCTGTGCATACATTGCGAATATATTTTTAACAATTATGATAGGATATTGAAAGAACATTTTGCGTGTTTATATCATTGAAAATTATTGTAAATATTGCATCGCAAGAAGGATCCGTTTCACAATGAATCATTTTACGACTTTTCATTTTACAACAGCTATTTTTATCAAAATGGGTATAAATCAAACATGTGTTTAAGTATTTAACCACACATACTTTACTTCGTTTAATCAACATTTTACTTACATTTCCGACTTCAATCTGTACTGCTTTTGCTGTATGATACACTGCCTCTTTATCAGCTATATCGCAATAATATGTCCAACATTTTCCATTATTTTTTTTAATCTCCTCTGCAACTTCTGCAAGACCTGCGTTTACCATTTACATATATACATGTATTTACACACTTAAAAATTTATTAGAAAGGAATTAAATCAAGTGTATGTGCTTTTTAATTACTGTTAAAATATATACATATTACCCATACATTTGTATGCATATTACAAGAAGATTGTTAAACTTACATTGTGTGACAGTATGAGTAATTATTAATCACTAGTTAATAATTACCCGTACACATATGTTCAAATAGTTCTAAATCTACATCTAAAAAAAAGATAAAGTTATTGATTTCATAAGATTAAACGACCTACACTGGCCAATGTTTTTATTCAAAAACTGATTATACCGTTTCGGCCCCAGATTTGGGCCTTTTTCAAGTGATCTGTAATCGCAAATTGCAAATTATAAAACAATGCTGAAGGCCTATCGCAAATCAACTATAAATTCATACCTGAGTAATAAATATACTGTGTCATTAGTCAATTGTTTGGCCAATACCATTCCACTGTGATAAATTGAGTAGAGACAAGAGGAAAGTCATTATAATGTAACACACTCAACTAACATGTTCAATAAAAACTTACATGGTGGTCAAGTAGATTTACACATCTTTGTTAGAAGAAAGGTAAAATTGATTGAGAAACAACACGATGTTCACGAAATCATGTCGGAGATAAAAATTGATTTCACAACTGTGTCGCGTTGGAGACTAGCACATAAATAAGATTAAAAGTATCATGTACACATTGTACACAGAAATTATAAATACCTACTATCGACACAAAGAAAGTCACACGTATTCAAGGACTTAGTCATATATACTGATTGTGAGTTTAAGTTTTCAGTGTCACGTTTTAAATTAATAGCATTTTTATGTTTTTTTAATAAAAACCATTTCAGCAACCTCACGTTTAATTTTCTATTTTTCGTTATGTAATATTTTAGGTTCCAACCAATTAAAATCGTGTTCATGATTGAGGCGATGCTTGCTAACGACCGAGAAATTATTTTCATGTTTCTCTCAATATCGTTGCAGTGTTCATTAACGTTGACAGATCTAAACGGATAATAAGTATCAGTATCAGTAAATATCAGTATAAATATTGTTCTATATTTTCTATAAGAATTGAAAAACAAAACATCGCAATAATCTTTTCTTTTAGATATAGGTTTAGGATTACTTAAACATATGCGTGTAGTATATGTGTAAGATTTTATTGAAAAAGAAATGATTATTTACTCGAATTGACCTGATCTCTCACCATTTTTGTTGATGTCCCAAACGACTACGTGTGCACCGAGTTTGGCAAATTTGATTGCGATTAGTTTACCAATTCCGCTAGCACCACCCGTAATAAGAGCAATTTCACCCTTGATTGATTTTGCTCGATATCGGCGAGGAACTAGTGTTAGCACTATAGTCTCGATGAAATAAAGTATCGCCATGCTGATAAACAGCAATAGATTGTAGATTATATGCATGCTTTCCTTCAGATTCATCATTTTATGATTTAATATTCTACCGAAAAACATTATACAATTATTAATTATCTTAAGTAATGATCTTCATTCCATAATAAATATATTATTTTATTATCGAATTCAAATCGACATAATTATAAGGTTGAACGATTCTAAATTTAATTATTACAATTATTAAATAGAAAAACAGCACTAAAAAATCAAATATATGTCGAATTATTTTCTCTAACGTAATACAGATATACATAAAAATATTTGCATCCGTTTTCTGCTCTAATTCTGTTAGATGTTGCAACTTGGTTGTTATGTTAAATGGCATATCATTAGCATATGATAGTTGGGAGAATATTATTATTAATCGACAACTCGTGACGTTAACAATCAACCTTTGAGTCTTTAGATTTATAATTTTAAGTAGAAATTAAAATTAGAATATTATTTCAAGCTTTTTATATTATATAAAGCACATAGAAAATATTTAAAAAATGAAATATATTGGTATACATATAGATAGGTATATAAAACACATTCAAAAACACGAAAAAATACGTAATTGCCACAAACAGTAAGACATTTAACGAACATATCAAAGCGTCTTGTATTGTGGAAAGCTAATGTGGCACTAAGGATGTTAAAGTCGTTCGGTCGGATACAAGATAAGAAGCGGGGATAGGGCAAATGAAAGTAAAATACAAAAATAGATTAGGTGGTGCGTACAATTTTATCATAGATAGCGCCAAGGTTGTCTGTATCTTAATTGTTGCAAGTTTATCGTGTGCTGAAGAAACTTTTTTTATGTAGAATATTTCCGCAATAAAAGGTCAAAGTCTTAAGACATTAAGACATGCGGAAATTAATAAAATTTAAATGTTTACACATTACACCTCTATTATTTCTGCAAAAATGCAAATTTACATTAGTTTTGTTTAAATTTTCATGTATTTTTTTAGGCCAATTTTTATTTATGCCGTATTTAAATATATATTCAAAAATCATCAAATCATAGCAGTTTAGATAAATTCAACGACTGGCTGCTGACTGGTGAAAGCCAGCTAGTTAGATGGAAAGTTGTACCTTTCATTCAAATCTTCTAATAATCTATGAGAGTATAAAACACTAATCTCTTACTTATAAATTAATTTAAAAAATCATGGAAATTATTACAAAAATTTGTTTTATATATATATGCATATAATGATTTCATATTTTATATAAAATATATACCTTGAATATATTTGAAATTTTTTAACCTTTAATTTTGTATTTTATATGTACTACATATATATATATTTCATTTTGTTTTTATACGCTTATTATACATTAAATACATATAAAAATAAGTACCTATTTATTTAAAATTTCCTTTAAAAAATATATAATCTATTAATCTTGCAAATAATTACCTTTTGTTTAATATAATGTCCAATCATTCAATATTTAGTATGTCATTGATTCACTTCAGTTCTTCACAACTTTAACGCAGGTATGTTAAAATCACAGTTTTATATAAAAAGTATATAGGATACGGAACATAAAAATTCTATGTGTCACCGTATTTGGTTAAATTACTTTCTTGCACTATTTTTAAAACAAAGCAAGTATGTACCTATGTTTCACAATGTGCACTAGGTGACCGGTAAATGTTGACTGTGGCTTCTAGTGCGCCCGAATTACCGAGTGCACTGTGGAAACGTCGAAGAAATCGTGAGCTTGGCTATAGTATGTACACGCTATCCGTCTATGCAGACAAGAAAATAACTAGAGAGAGTGCAAGATTGCGGAGACGTAAGATTTTTGAAAAGGAAGTGATTAAGAAGGAAATTAATAGTTTAACAAACTTGACACATTGTAGTTACATCTTTAAATAAAATATTGTGTACTTTTTACGAAATATATATTGTCTACATATCGTCTATATACATATATGGCATACATCAATATCTCTTATTTATTATAAATTTATCCAAATCATCTTTAACCATCTTATATAGATTATCCTCTAACTCTCTACTTATTCCCCTCTTCCCTCTAATTATTTTTAATGACCAGGATGAAGGATTATTAACGAGAGATATATCTATTCCTTTTAACACACACAGAGAGAAGAGAGAGAGAGAGAGACTTTTTACACTTACACTCCCTGTACTGTCAGTCTTTTTTCTAATTAAACAAAAGTATATACTTACTTTATTTTGAATACAGATAATAGAAGAAAGTAGCTGAAACGGATACAGTGAAACTTCGTTCCAGTACGTAACCTGTGATTACATTGTTTACATGATATGACGGTAAATGTATGTATACATTGCAAAATCTACGTTGTGACAAGTTCTCCAAATTGCATCTCCTTGTTTTTAGAATTTGATGGAAAAAATTAATAGTTAACGATTGCATTATATTCCTTTTAAATTTTAATAAACTAAAACACGACAATACATAGAGCACATCAGTTTCTTTTTCTTTTTATTTGTACCAATATTTAAGAAAAATTGTAGGTATTACTAACTCATGCATATTTATGTTAAAGACGTAATCTTTTTATATATTTATACTAGAATTAGTTACTAACAATTGCTAACTAAAATAAATTTCTGTTAAATTTACAAAAAGATAAATAATAAAACAATTGCATTGCTGTGCATTTTTCTATAAAAAATCAACATAATCGATAATTCTTAAAATAAAATCATGTAATTTTTCTTACACAATTCTTCTAATCCAGATTTATTAATTTAATTTAATTAATCCAAACTTATTTTTGTTGTATAAACGTTTTTATATTCTTATAATGCACTAATGTTTGTATCTCTCCAGAAGCATTGCATAAAGTTTTCGTCAACTAAGCAATTTTGTCATTAAGTGACATTGCGTAAAATCAGACACTGTAAACGTCCAGTAAATATCGCGTGCTTACTAACTACTCCCGTAGAAAGCCGTTTGATTGCTTAAATCCTTGGACTGTGTGAAAAATGTATATTGGTAAATATTTTTGCTTTTCATTGCTAAATAATGATAGATCTCTCGACTATCTTTGAACATGATATATTTTGGTCAAAGAAATAGTTATTGTATTTTAATTAATCATAGACAAATGCATAGTATTATTGTAATTTTGCAATAAAAGAGATATATATTCCGGGTGGATTAAATAATTATTAAAGTAAATTTCAAGAGGCTGCATACAAAGTTTTGCGATTTCTTCTCATTGGGAGAAATGTAGATAAATTGAAGGTGGAAACATTTCCCCACCTGAAACTGGTGAAAGGATGACGCTGCCAAACTGGGTCGCTTACAATTGACTTGATCACGAAGAGGAGAAAGAAATATAAGAACAATATGCGATATTAAGTGCAATGTTTTATGCAAAACCTGTGACAATGTGCCCAACGAATGTACAAGATGTAGAAAAAAAGATAGAAATTGTCGTCTATGTAATATTATTTTTTACATTAGAATGTTATATCCAAACAATATCAAGCATAAAATTTTATCAGAAGAAATAAAGAAAATAATATTAATATTAATAATAATACTAATGAAACAAATTTTTTAATTTATTGGAATGTTAAAAAATACTTAAACATTTTTGACCATATCTGGCCATTTTAATGGTAAATTATCACGACGTTTCGACCATGGGTTTTGGTCCTTTTCAAGTGATCGTATCTGTTACAACTGCTGAAAAGGACCAAAACCCATGGTCGAAACGTCGTGATAATTTACCATTAAAATTGCCAGATATGGTCAACCAATTTTGATGTTTTTAATTTTTGCTGGCGACCCTGAAGAATTTCCGATCAGTTAAACATTTTTCTTTATTTCATTTTATCGGCAACCGGGTCTGAGATTTCCCATATACTGATAGATAAGATTTACAACTACAACATACTGAATGTTTTCTACTTTTGTTCGATTTATGCAGCATAATTATGCCATTATCTAATATAAATAGCTCTGTTCTTTTCACAGCGAATAATCAGTTATGTTTTTCAGTTATATATCTCCTGTAAAAATATCACTGATTTTGTTTTTCTTCGGATTTAAAAAGCTTTGGATAATGATCTTACATAACAAAATAATTTTGTCATATATGATTATGGAACTGACCAATCACAACTATTCTTCAGAAGAATGGAATGACTGCGATTGGTCAGCACCTTAATTATTAGGGTGCCGTGTAAACGTATGTCATGGACTGCTAGTTACCCCCACTTTTCCTGTCTTTACAATGCTTTGCTGTGTAATGGACATGAATCGCGCCCCCAGGACTTAAACGGCAGAAAATGGAAACATCAAGTGAGATATTCCGATGGTAAACAGAGTTTGGTTTTAACCGGCTATGTGACCAACCAATAGTTTCAATGCAATTCTTTTCAAAATGTAGGCTGCATATGCGACTGCTTTCTGAAAGTCTTACCATATTTTCTTGACTATGACATGAACTAACGAGGACTTCTATCCACTTCTCTCGAAGAAGAGGATTTTTTGGAAATCTATTTAATAATTTAGTATTAAAATTTAAAGAAAAATTTAATTATACGTCTTAATATAATTAATTGATGTATTATAAAAATAATTAGGCTTGTTTTCTATTTCTGCACTGGTGAACTAATGCAGTAAGCTAGAATGAAAGAACTTTGAAAATATATTAGATCTATAAATCACGCGTTCGATCGTTTTATTAACAGAGAATGCTGAATCATTAATCTAATCTTGAAAAAGACATATAAGAGGTTTATTGCTGTCAGTTTTTTTTTTTGCAAAACTGATTGATTTTCTTGTTTTGCTTATTCCTTACTGTAAGAATGCTACTAAAGTACAGATCTCGTGTTTCAAAAGCTGTTAAGGATATACCATGTTACGAATAAATATCAAGATAAAATATATCAGAATATACTAAATAAATTTTTATAAAAAATACATATTTAATTTTACTTTTACATACATATCACAATTTTTTTATAATAAAATCTCAAGTATAAAGAAATTTATTTTATACTTTAATTTATTTCTGGGCAGAATTTTAGGTATTATAATGTCAGCTGTACTTAGTATATGTTACTTATGTGGCTATGTCTTCTCGTATCATTCTATATGCGACTTTTATTGTACTTTTGGTAGGTATAGTTCTGAAATATCACAGCAGGATTAATTAATCTGTTTAACGGTACCACATACTAATTATTAAAAATTTATATGGAAAGTTTTCAATGTGAGATTATCTTGCAAACCTAAATATCTTTTAAAGCTGTCGTATCAATATGTTCCACATATTTTTCAGACCTCTAGTTGTGCCAAATATTTTCTTTATTCGGATATTGTTTTCGAGAAAATCTTTTACGAAACCCGCTGTATATGGTAACATGTTTTTGAATTTGCTACGGTTTTTAGCAATCTTATTTGGATATTCAGGTTCCTAAACATTAGCAACATGTATTGGTTATCTATTAATTCTATTATTTGCTTATTTATGAATCTATAAAAATAAATTCATAAAGATAAAGTGATATCAGATATAGCAACTAGAAAAGATACGCCGCGATTAATTTTTATACCACGCCAATATACGGAGTAATTATAAAGTGACCAATTTAATTATCAGCGTAATTGGAAGACATATGGAAAACTAGTTTGTACTGTCATGTTTAGTACAATGGGGGACATCATATAATGGATTATTCTATGTGTGGAGGCGGTTGAGGACATTTCAAGGTCAATTCTTTTTTTCTTTTTCTTTTTTAACGAAACGCTATATTTTTTCTGTAATGATATGATGGTCCTTTTTAAGACAAGTTCTATTGACATTGTACATCGCACATAAGGACACTCAAGGTCACAAACACATAGAAAAATGAAGTCCAATTGTGCATCTTATATTTCACAATAAATGTTGAAAATTTTGTCCTTAGACTTGACACAAATTATTCCCGTGTGTCAAATAATTCGCTGTTCTTCTTAGTACCTGTAACAAAACGTTTTCCAATGCTTTAGTGATTCAAACAATCGTATTATCACGAGTTGTTGTAGGTTGTTGTAGGTTTACGGTATACAATGCCTTTGATCCCTATAAAAAGTAATCCCTATAAAAAGTAATCTAGAGGTATAAAGTCAGGTGAATGAAGTGACCATGCTACCTAGTAAGCCCTTTCCATCTCGATGTAGATATTTTTAATTCAATAAAATCTGTACTGCCCTGGTAGCTGGTGCTTCATCATGTTGAAACCACATTTGTCCTCGAGTATGTAAATCTTCATTTTTTAGCAATACTGGTAAAAATAATTCTCAAGGAAACTGTGGTAAATTACACTATTTAGTATCCCTTCGAATGACCGTTCAATATTATGGATTATATCATGAGCAAGCAGGAATTACAGGATATACAATTAAACTTAATTTTTCTGTGTGTTTGTGACCTTGAATATCCTTACGTAATAAACCATTAAACTTGTCTTGAAAAGGGCTATAATATTATGATGTAAAAAAATATAACATTCTATTTGAAAAAACTCAAGCTTGACCTTGAAATATCCTCAACGCCTCCACCCATAGAAAAATCGTTTCCACCATATGATGTCACTCTTTGTACCGACCATGTCGGTACAAACTACTTTTCCTTATGTCTTCCAATTTTGCTGATAATAAAATCGGCCACTTTATAAGAATCACCCTGTATAACATATTCTGTAAAATATCGATTTTACTTTATAACGTATTATCCTACTACAGTTAAACTTGAATTATCTTGCTCCTTCTTGTATCACACTAGTGTGCAAAAAATGGTTTTGTACTGATGTTTATTATTTTTGTTATTAGATACCTACTAATATAATGTTCTATAGTGGTATAAACTCTTGTAGAAAGAAATTTGTTTATGCACATTGTTTCATACGGTTGTGCATGGCAACACAATAGCACTATACATACACGCGAAGACACGCATGATTCTAGATATACATGCATGCGATTTCTGCAACGACCTACGTCTCGCTGGCTCGACGATCATTCCGAAGTGAAGGTACAGCCAAAGCAACGCGTTCCATTTAGTATACCGACGACCGTAGTGCCGGTAGGATACACACTCGCCACCGTCCGCAAAATGTATCTTTTATCGTGTAAATATGGTGTTTTTTTCTGTGCCTAATTTATGTTTTTTCAAATCCCACTTTCACCTTTTCTTCGTACTTCCGTTTATGTGATTTTAAATGCAATTTCTCGCATGGAACGATGATCAACAGGTAAGGATATCTGTTACATGTTTTTAAAATTATTATTTTCATTTATTATACGATTAGATTTACTCGTGCGAAATCTCATTTCGTATGTTTCTTTTTATTTAAAAGTATTTATTTTTAATTAAACTATTATATCTGAGAATAAAGCAAATATAATTTAAAAAAAACTACCTTTTAATATTATTTGAAATTTAAGTTAATCAAAAACTGAATAATATGTTAGTTGTCATTTTGTAATAAAGTATTGCAATTCTCTCTCTCTCTCTCTCTCTCTCTCTCTCTCAATTATGAACGCATGATTAAGGTATGATTAAAAATCAAGCCATGATCGGTATTAGAATAATGCAATGGAAAATGACGTCAAAGATAAAAAGATACATGCAGTGAAAGTCAATTAAATCTGCAATAAGACTAACTGAAACGTCTACCGACTGCAGCTACAACGGTAGAAAAATTTGCGGTTTACTGTTCGTCCATGGTTGCAATTGAATCGCAACATATGCGGAACGTAAGATTACTACACGTGCGTGATACGACTCCAAGTATCTAATTTTCAAGAAATCGATTCGTTGCTATCTTTTCCACTCTCTGTACTTGCAAATAAAAACTCTAGATTTCTATTAATTGCATCAATTGCATCAGTTAGATTGCTATTGGTTGCAGATGCTAAAGAATACAGCTGCGTTCTTTTAATTATAAATCTGAATGTTCTGATTGTAATTTTCTCCTGGCAAGTATGTTGAAAAAATATAATTTTTAATTATATTTATAACAAAACTTTAAATTAAAATTCTCTTAAAATGGACCGTTTTAAAAGTTCAACAGGTTTATAAAAATTCTATTAAATTAACTAAAGATTTTGTAGTAGAAAGAACGTTTCGTACGCGTTCATTCGTTCAGACGTTTTAATTAATTACTCGGTAGCTATTGGGAATTTTATAAACTTTTCTTTCCAGTTTATCCCCTTCTATCTGAATATGAAGTCATCAACACCTTATCCCAAACACCGTGTACATACAATAATTAATGAGTTATGTCGACAATAACTGGCACAATATACGTTTCGGCCAGTAATGCTGGTCCTTATCAACTATTACCCATTAAATGTGACAACAAGAAATCTACAAAAAATAAAATTATATGAGCCCAAGTTAAATTGCAGAAACATATCAAAGTATCCGGTTGTATAGAGGTACATAGTCAAGAAACTGAATCACTCAGCACAATAAAACATATAAAATTAAAAAATTAAAAAATTAAAAACTTATCAAGCATTGTCAAAGGCTGATGAGAACGTTAAAGTATAAGACGGTCTGCGTTCGTCCGGCAGCTGTCGCAAAACAAGAAACACGGGGAGGACGAATAACTAACTAATTATATAAACAAGTAAATAAATAGATTAAGTGGTGCGTACAACTTTATCATAAATAGAGCTTAGGTTATCTTGTTGTAAGTTGATCGTATAATCAAAAGACTTTTTAATGTAGAACATCTCGGCAGTTTCTCGTTTTTTATAATGTGACTCCTTGCGCAAAATTACCGGATTAAGCCAATCAAATTCGTGTCAAACAAGATGACGTTGCTTGCTAACAACCGAGTGATTGTTGGTCGGTTTTTTGATATCGTTGCGATGTTCGTTTATCCGTGGAACAATATGTCCTTTAGTTTGACCAATGTATATCGCATCGCAATCAACACAATTAAGTTGGTAGACAAGCTCAGTCTGCCTAGAGCCAGCGATTCTATCCTTCCCCTTCTTAATCAACACATTTAATTTTTTCAGGACTGAAAATCGCGTATCAACATGTTGTTTCTATAGAATCTTTCGGATAGCATCACTAATGGTACCGACAAACAGAATTGTGATGCTATTTTGAAAAGCCTGGTCCACATTTATAAGGGCAGTGATGTCAGAGCTGATATGGTGTTTCAGTCTTTTCCTAATGTGTTTGTCGATAAAAGAAGAAGGATAAGAATTGTTTAAGAGAATATCCGTGATCGCTTTTATATTTTGGCATCGTGAAAGCGAGAGTCCGAGAGTGAGATAGCTTGGTCAACCAAATTTATAGGTAAATGTATTAATTTTGTATCTCAGTTGGTGGTTAGAGAAAGAATTTATGTACCGGCCAGAAAACGTTGGTTGCTGTCCCATTTAATGGGTGATACTTGATAAGGACCAGTATTACTGGCCGAAACGTCGTGTATTAATTGATTAATATGTAGTTTTATTCACTGGCGATCCATCTATCTGAAGATTAGATATATAATATTGCGCATTAATTGTGCAGCAATTATATAGTACATACAACTGCATAGAAATTAAAGTCTATGCTGCAGAAAAAGAACTTATTTTAATTTAAATTATTTTTCACTATTTAATTTAATTACTGATTGTGGTGATACGTGGTGATATGTGGTGAGGGCTTCCAATAAAATTAACAACTTGGTAACAAAAATATTGTAACATACACAAAATTTACATACATAAAAATTTTCAATAATTGGAGCACTATTGCAACAGCATATACCTGACAAACAGTTATCGAGATATCAGGAGCTAAATATTGAAAAGGTTATCAATTTTCTCTTGAATATCTCAAAAAGTATTAGGCAAATAAAAAATGTTTCAAAATTTAGTCAAAAAATTATCTAGAAGTAAAGCCATTGAAGAACCTTTTTAGATCTTTCCGATAGTTTCCGAGATATCGGCCTGGATAGAACAGTATGAATGCGCGCGCGCTCTTGAAAAATTCGCAGCGATAAGTTTTACATTGATCTTCCTACATTAAATAACATAAATAGTTTTTCAACTGTTATATAGTTGAGAGGTATAAATAAAAGATTATTATACAAGTATACATATATAGTTGTAAAATTAAAATTATAGCATACAAAAAAATCGGTAAGAGAATCGGATAAGAAAAAATTGAAAAAATAATTAACGCATGCGCATATGTAAAATATTTAACAATATTAAAAATACCATTTCAAACAGTCCTATTTATTATTTTAACATGTTGAATGTTATTATGTCTCTTGATATTCATTTTATGAAAACATTCAACAAAGATATAAATTATCTTTTTCTCTGTAAGTGTGATGATATGTTATCTAAAGATGGTCTTTTTATATTTCAGGTCAAACGTATGTTGCAATTCGTCGAGTCATCAGCGTAAACTTTGATCACCATTCTGTAAGTCTTAAACTAGTTTCGACACTGCGATTGCAGTTCGAGAAATGACAGACTGAACGATCGATACCTCCAGTTGCAAGAAAACCGTGCAAAGAGCTCAACACTGCTAATTCAGATTTACACGGACAAGAGAGACAACGCGCACGAGATTTGCCGTGTCAACATGACATATTTGCGATCAATTGGGGAGGTGATTGTCTTCCTGTTGTTGTCTATCTTTGCAATATTGGATGGCGTCATCAGGTCATTCATTCCTAAAAGGTACAAAATGAAGAGTATAAATGGCGAAATTGCCCTCGTGACAGGGGGTGGCGGAGGTTTGGGAAGGCTACTCTCCCTCAGGCTAGCCAACTTGGGCGCCATCGTTGTCGTTTGGGATATAAATGAGGCAGGTGAGTCCAAAATGAGAAAATTGAAAATTGTTTACTCGGATTTTCTTTGGACATATTATTGTTCGAAAATTTCGTTTTGCATTTAAAAGGTTTCTGTGTAAAGAGTGTAAAGATTCGCCGTAAATAATCAAAATGTAGTATAATAACAAAGTGGCAGTAGCTATTATAAGTATGGATATACTTGAATCGGTATTCATAGTCCGTTCTTATTTCAAGATTATATCTTAAGTAATGTCTCAAGATGTTATGGTTCTCTGCGATTGATTTACAATTAAGATTATACTTGAGATGATCTTGAAATAAGAACGGACTATGAATACCGCGGCCCAAGTATATCCATATAATAGCTACCGCCACTTCGTCATTATACTACATTTTGATTATTTACAGCTAATCTTTACATTCTTTACACAGAAACCTTTTAAATAAATGCAAAACTAAATTTTAGAATAACAATAATACTTTCATTTTACTTGTTTATTGTCCCACAACTTTTTTAGTTTGCGTTGAAAAATGTTCTAAATTGTAAGTAATCTTCTGATTCTTTGGATAAATTTTCCAGCAAAAGTATCGATCCAAGTTTTGTTGTGTATACATTTTTTATATGGTTGAATTATAAGATCCTACAGTAGTTGTATCATTATAATATTCTTATATGATTAGGAAACGTTTGTTATTATTCCTTATCTGTCTAATTTATTCCATTTTGTTATTCAATGATCCGATGAGAAGACTCTTCTCATATAAAAATTAACTATCAAGATATTTCCACTTGCTCGATAACGCGTAGATGTGATTACGATAGTTAAAACAACATTTGTATGGGCCAAGTTATTATTTCCCATTTTGCGACTTTGCTAATTTTGCAACTTACTACTGAAAATCTATGTAACGTGCTCATTGTCAGATGTATGTACGTATGTACACTAGGTATCACCTTTCCATATGAATTTAGGCACATACAGAACACATGTACATTTTCCATGTTTGTATAGACAAAATGTACATATAAGTGTGTTGATATGTGCAGAAATTCATATGGAAAGGCATCAGCGATGCCTAATGTATGTCGTACATACACGAGAATTTATTTTCTTTCTTTCAATGACGATAGAAGGTCACTCTACAGAATTCACTCGAGTTCATGGGCACGCAAGAGGCAATGCATTGAATTTTAATACATTCTGATTATCAACGACTGTGCGTAGGATAATAATCAACTTTATTATAAATATATTCCTACTGCTACGAGATTTTACCAAGTCAATCGACTATATCACATTTTCAATTAAATTACACATTAAAAAAATTTAGTTATCTCTTTGGAAATTAATTTTTATAAGAAATTTGGCATAAATTTGGCTAAATATTTATCTTGATGATGAAAGTAGCGCATTCGTAAACATTCAAGGTTTACGAGTCTATTCGCTTAGCCAGGTTCGCAAACTGGTTACCGTTTCACGAGCAATGTTGGTTTTAAAAGGTTTTTAATAGTTAATGTGAGCTATCATATTAGTCTTAACATTTAAAACAGTAGCGAATCTGACGATATGTATAGTATAACAATGTGTAACGTTACACATAATAATAATAATATTTTTATAATATAGTATATAATAAAAATATTTTTTAAACATAATCACAAATTAAAAATTTTTTCGACATCTACAAACGTTTATATGATCTAAAATAACAAATATCTATAGCTTCACAAACTCATACACACATTTGATAGACAATGATTTTATAAAAATTTATCAAACTCCCGATTTTGCCGTTTTTGTTTCTTTTCAGTGTAGATAAAAATTTTTTATATTTTAACCGTTCTAACCTATATTGTACACGAAACACAAATGTTTCTTCTTTTATTCGAGACTAAATACAGACAAAAATGTCAATATGTTACTCTTTAAGTGAGAATCATTTAAAATGTCGTTGGCGATATTAGGTGCCTTTACACATCCTACATAGTAAGAAATAAATAAAAATTAATAAATTAAAACTGTTAATGAATAAATTAATTAAAAGTAATATTATTTTTGCAAATTCATAAATGAATTCAGGAAAAATTATAAAATTTATAATGAAATTTTATTTAATAATCATAATTTTGAGTTTCACAAGATCTTTATGGGTCATTCCATATCAGATTTACAAGCAAAATTTTGATTCGCCTGAAAATTTTTTTTCTCGTTCTAGAAAGGAAAAAAATGACAC